TTCTTTCTAATTTTAGTAGAGACAGGGTCTCGCTCTTGCTCAGGCTGGTCTCGAACTCCTGAGCTCAAACAATCTGCCCGCCTTGGCCTCCCAGAGAGCTAGGATTATAGGCGTGAGCCACCAAGCCCGGCCTAGAATGTGTTCTTAATTATATTCTTTATTGGCAGCAAAAAGCTAGCGTTCTCAGTTGAGATAGTATTAAATCACTGACACTGTTTTTGAAGGTAATGTGGGTAATATTTAGCAAAAGCTACAAAATGACCAGGCCCTTTGATCCATTAATTCCAGTCCTGCTAGCCTCCTACAGCAGGGGTGAGGTGTGGGAGGGCGTAGGGCTAAATCAAGGAAACTATCCATAACCATCGCTTTGTGCCTTCCAAAAAGGACAATTAAAAAAAAAAAAACACAACAAGCATTTCTTTACATATATGGTGATTCAAAACTTAAAACAACTGAAATGTCCAAGCATTATTTTAGGAGGTTTTTTTTTTTTTAAGAGCGCAAACGTACTCCTCCCACTACAGCAAATTATGCGGTCCAGTTTGCCCACATGTGGGGAAATCCCAGGGGTCAGCACATCCGAAGTGCAGCGGATGAGCCTCACCCTGGGAGAACCACCTTCATGATCATGGTATCTCGGTCTGCAGGGTAAGTATTTATTTTAGGGGAAAGATTTAACAAATTATGGTACATTCATTCATTTGAGGGATTGTGCAGCAGTTAAAATGGTTACAAAGCTTTATAATGAAAAGATACCATTTATTAAGGGACACACACACACAGAAGGGACGCAAGCACTAAGTAAGATTCATTGTGCTCTAAAGTTTTACACTAAGGTACAGTGTCAAATAATTTAAAAACCAATGTTCTAACAGCGGTGATGTCTTAGTGGTACATTATGGGTGACGGCTTCCTTTTATTTGCACAATTATCATACAGACATAATTGTGTTACAGAAACCCAAGGTCTCTAACTCGTCATCTTTTGATTCTGCTTCAGAGTCTAAGCCCTTGGGCTTAGAAACCTCTATTTTGTCACCTTGTTTGGCTTGGAGGCTACACCCTCCAGCTTAGAGGCCTCTGTGGCAACAAATATAAAATTGACTTTTAGCAACTGGAACTGTTTATCGTTCAGATTCAAGCGTGGTATCTGCATTGATATGACCCTAAAAATTAACAAAAGTTAAACATTTTTTATTTTTGTTATTAAGCAAAGAATTGAGATATCTATTTGGTAAAAAAAACTGGGTGTGGCTGTTACATAAACATTTCCAGACTTCTGCAACATCTCAGGTGTATTTCGTCAGATAAACCTAAGGCTTCTCAATCCTCTTCCTGCAATGCTGTTTTCAGAGAACACGGTATTTCCCCTTTCCTATAACTCATAAGCCTTAAAATTCCTTCTTTGGCATCTGGTTTGCCCACTAAGACCATGAGCTCTTTGAGGTCAAGGAATGTCTCTTGGCATAACGGTGTTCCGACCCTTGGCATTTAGTAGACATCCTTCATTACTGGACTGGAGAGATGGACGTCACAGTCCTTAACAGCCTGGAGTTTGGCTGTCTGCTTGGGGGAGATTACCATATAAAAATTTAAATGTTTGCGTAGTCTCAGAGAAAAACTATCAATTTTTTTTTTTTTTTTGAGACAGTCACTCTTTTGCCCAGGCTAGAGTGCCATGGCTATCAGCCTAGCTCACAGCAACCTCAAACTCCTGGGCTCACGCAATCCTTCTGCCTCAGCCTCCCAAGTAGCTGGAACTACAGGCATGCGCCACCATGGCCGGCTAACTGTTTTCTATATATTTTTAGTTGTCCAATTAATTTCTTTCTAATTTTAGTAGAGACGGGGTCTCGCTCTTGCTCAGGCTGGTCTTGAACTCCTGAGCTCAAACGATCCGCCCGCCTCGGCCTCCCAGAGTGCTAGGATTACAGGTGTGAGCCACCGCTCCCGGCCAAAACTATCAATTTAATGGAAAGTCAAATATATAAATTTTAAAATAAGATCTCTAAGCCCTGGCTGGGTGCGATGGCTCACGCCTGTCATCCTAGCACTCTGGGAGGCCGAGACGGGAGGATCCCTTGAGCTCAGGAGTTCAGAGATCAGCCTGAGCAAGAGCGAGACCTCGTCTCTACTAAAAATAGAAAAATTAGCTGGGTGTTGTGGTGCATGCCTGTAGTCCCTGCTACTTGGGAGGCTGAGGCAAGAGGATCCCTGAGCCCAGGAGTTTGAGGTTGCTGTGAGCTAGGCTGATGCCACAGCACTCTAGCCCTAGCAACAGAGGGAAACTCTTGTCTTAAAAAAAAAATCCCTAAGCTCAGCCATACTAAAGGAACAGAAATTCTCTGCATGAGTTAAATCGTCTCTCCTCTGGATTTTTCCAGGATGCTCTTTCTACCTGGAAGCCCTCCTTCCTGTCTTTGTCAGCTAACTGCTAGGATTCTTCAGACTTGATTTATAATCTTCTCCCTTAAGAAGTCTTTGATTCTCTTGGCATGGAGCGGTGGCTCATGCCTGTAATCCTAGCACTCTGGGAGGCTGAAGTGGGAGGATTGCTCAAGGTCAGGAGGTTGAGACCAACCTGAGCAAGAGCGAGACCCAGTCTCTACTGAAAAATAGAAATTAGCAGGACAACTAAAAATATACAGAAAAAATTAGCCGGGCATGGTAGTGCATGCCTGTAGTCCCAGCTACTCGGGAGGCTGAGGCAGAAGGATTGCTCGAGCCCAGTTTGAGGTTGCAGTGAGCTAGGTTGACGCCATGGCACTCTATCCCGGGCAACAGAGTGAGACTCTGTCTCAAAAAAATAAAAATAAAAAATAAGTCTTTGATTCCCCAGACTGCACAGTTGCATGGAGGAATTAATTTCTGAGAATGGATATAAATCATTCAATGATGTTCAAATGCAAAGAATTTGGTGATCTACAGATATCCTCTAACTCTCTTCATGTTTCCCATAAAGAGAAAGGCACCATGCAGGTTGGGAGCCTCTATGTCCCTAGGATGTTTATATTTCCTCAAAATCCTGGAGGCAGTTGGGAATGTAAAGCAGCGCACCCACTGGGAAATAGCAAGGAGGTTCCCCCAAAAAATAAAAATAGAATTACCATGATCCTGCAATCCCACTTCTGGGCATAAATTCAAAAAGATATTACACACCCATGTTCATTGGAGCATTATGCCCAATAGCCAAGAGGTGGAAATGATACAAAAGCCCATCTATGAATGAATGCATAAAGACATGTTACATACATGTAATGGATTATGCAGCCTTTTTTAAAGGAGATCCTGTCACATGCTACAATATGGATGAACCTCAAGGACATTATGCTAAGTGATATAAGCTAGTCACGAAAGGACAAACACTGTATGATTCTACTCACATGAGGTAAGGAGGCAGGATTCCCATCTACTGAGAATTCTCACGTTGGGCACAAATGCCACTTCACAGAACCTTCATGAAAAGTCTGCGAAGTAACCCATCCACAAACTAAGGAACCTGAGACTCAAGAGAAGTTACAGAACTTGCTTGGAATCACACAGTAGAATTGGAGCTCAAAGCCAGGTGTTCTGAGGGACCAGGACATTTAAAATTTTTTTTTTTTGAGACAGAGTTTCACTCTGTTGTCTGGGCTAGAGTGCAGTGGCATCAGTGTAGCTCACAGCAACCTCGAACTCCTGAGCTCAAGCAACCCTCCTGCCTCAGCCTCCTCAGTAGCTGGGACTACAGGCATGCGCCACCATGCCTGGCTAATTTTTTTATATATATATATTTTTAGTTGTCCAGCTAATTTCTTTGAAGTTTTTTAGTAGAGACAGGGTCTCGCTCTTGCTCAGGCTGGTCTCAAACTCCTGAGCTCAAACAATCCTCCTGCCTCGGCCTCCCAGAGTGCTGGGATTACAGGCATGAGCCACTGCCCCCGGCCCCTGTATGCAGAAGATTCTTGAAGGCTGGACTTGGAAGGATTGAACGAAGAGAAGGAGAGCTGGACAGAGGATTGTTTTTAAAAATTGAATATACTAAGTGATTCCTAGCAGCAAAAGCCTTAAAATAGTTAGATCATTCCCCCTTCTTGATTATTTACCCATTGCATATTGATTCAAGCTTAAGTAATTAACAATTAGAAAACACACTAGTTTTACATTAGATAAGAGATTTGATCCTCCCATAAATGATTTTATGCAATAAAATCATAAAAAATTAGACTATATAACGACGAATTACTTCAGAATGCATAAAATAAAAAATTTGTAAATATACAAGCAAAGGAAGGCCGGGCTCGTTGCCTCACACCTGTAATCCCAGCTCTTTAGAAGGCTGAGGGGGGAGGATTGCTCAAGACCAGGAGTTCAAGGTTAAAGCGAGCTATGATTGTGCAGTATGCACTCCAGTCTCCAGGGCGACAAAGATCCTGTCTCTAAAATAAATAAGCAAATGAAGCATAAGAGTATTCAAAGGAAAAATATTTAATATGAAAGTTTAAGACTAACATCATGATAAACAATAAAATTTATGAAATATCCTTCTCGTGATGAGTTTGGCTTTTGCATTATTCTGTTTTAACTGATCTTGCCATCTCGTCCCCTGTGATTTTCCGTGGCTTCCCTCTACATTGAGAGATTCTCCCTTCCCCGGGTGGTATAGAAAGTTTACTCCTATATAAGCTAGGATGGTTACTATTATTTACAATTTTTTAAGACTACTCAAGTACACTAGTGAGAAAATAGGGGAAAGAATAGAAAAAGAAGTTCGATTTCTAACCATAACAATCAATTGAAATAACTCACTACCTTCAGAGCAGCCTATTTAAAAAAAATTTTACCAACATCTAGTTGGTATCTGCAACCGTCCTTTTCCCTCATCCCAAATTATGTTGTTAGCTATCCATCCTTCTGCACAGAGGTGTACTGCTTTATTTTTTGGCTTTACATGTTGATTTTTGGATGTGTCAGTGGGAGAAAAGCATATTATGTATATGTCTTTGTCGTCACCCTAGATTGCTAAACTATATTCTCTAGTAATTCTTTCAAAGAAGGTATACAAGAAATAGACTTTCTAAATTCTTCAATATCAAGAAATATCTTTGTTTTACCCTGAAAATCAAATGCCAATTTGGCTGGATATAGAATTCTAGGTTTAAAACCTTTATCCTGCAGAACTTTTATGACAGCACTCCACTTACTTCTCGCATCCAGGGTGTCCAGTGATAAGTCTGCTGTCAATCTGATTCTTGTTCCTTGGTAGGTTATTTCTTTTCTCTCTCTGGAAGCCCTTAGGATTTTCTCTTTATCATTAAAATTCCAAAATTTTACCAAGATGTGTCTAGGAGTGAGTCTCCTTTTATCAATCTTACTGGGTATTCGGTAAGCACTGACAATCTCAAGAGGTGACTCTTTCTTTAACTCTAGAAAGTTTTCATCAATTATTTCCTTAACTATGTCTTCTGCTCCATTCTCATTATTATCTTTTTCTGGAATTCCTATCAAACGAATGTTGGAGCTTCTGGATCTATCCTCTATATCTCTTAACCTTTCTTTATTTATTATCTGTTTGGTCATTTGTATTGTATCTTTAGAGAATTCCTCAATTTGATCATCTAGATTGTTCATTCTTTCTTCCAGTATGTCCATCCTGCTACTCAGCTCATCTATTGAATTTTTAATTTCCAAGACTTCTGGATGGTAGTTTTTAATATTTGCAATCTCCTCTATTATCTCTCTGATGCTATGAATCACACTTCTTCTAAAGTTTTCTTCTGTTTCTTGTATTAACTCTGCCTCTTTGAGTGTTAGCTCTTCTATTTGCAGAATTTTGTGTCTCTCTTTCTCTGTTTCCCTAAAAATTTTAGTGACTCCTGATGAAGTACCCAAATTTGTACATGGATACTTTTTACACTTATCATAACTTTTTTCTAGTGATTTTGAGGGAGAGGCCAAGTGTAAGGTCAGACAGGGTGTCTCAACTCCTTGACTTCCGGGCACAACTGTTTCCTCTTCCTCCTGGGTTTTGTGAACCACCTGATGTTTCACCAACTTTTTCCTCTCTGAGTCCAAAACCAAACAACTAGAGGAAATTTCTTTAAGTCCTCCTGAGGCTTCTTTTTTCTCAGTCTGGAAGGTAGTTCTTACCTTTCCTACCTCAGAGTCCTTTCCTTCTTCTTCTTCCTCCTCTAACTCAGAATCCTCTACCATGTCAATCAAAATAATCTCCAAACCATCACTGTTTATTTCCTCAACTCCATGCTTTGCATCTACCGCAATACAACCCTGAAAGGTAGAGTATTGTTCCTCAGAAAACACTGAACTCTCTTCCCCCTCCTCCTCCAACCATGAGGACTCTTCCCCCTCCTCCTCCTCTTCCTCCTCTAATCCTGAGGCCCCTTCTTCCTCCTCCTCCAACCCTGTGGCCTCTTCATCCTCCTCTACCTCTGAAGCCTCTTCCTCCTCCAACATGGGAGTTTCTTTTTCATTCCACTCAGAAGACTCCTCCAGAATCTCCAAGTTCTTCACCTCCTCTGGCTTAGCAACTTTTACCTCTTTACTAAATAGAAAGCTCAAGCCATCACTGGTTGTTCCTCCAGCTCCATGTTTTGAGTCTATTAGAGTTTTACCCTGAAAGTTAAAAAAAGAGAAGAAAAAGAATTATTTCTTTAAATCATGTGTTTTAAAGAATTAAAACTTTCAATTCACTCTCTGAATTATTTACTTAATATTCTTTTTGGGCTAGTCAAATGAAGCAGTGGGAGTGGAAAAGGAACAAGGAATCTGTAACTGGTTGTGATCAATTAGTTGTAAACACCACCACTCTCTGAATTTAATATATTTCTTGAAGACCTTAGCCTGCCCTTGAGGCTTTCACTTATTATTCCCTCTGTAAGAAAAAACTCTTCAGTTGTGGCTGGGGGATGGCTATTTGTTCTCAGCTTTTCCAACTTTCCCAGGCCAAGTTAAGCACCTCATCTGTGTAAACCTTGAAGGCAACTACTTTCTGAGACAAAATTCTGATTCTTAAATAAAGAATGTTGCTCCAAATGTATCTTCCAATTCTAGATTCTCATTTTGCATAGGGGTTACCTTTGGAAATGTTGGAAGGGCGGGGAAGAGGGGTTCATTGAAAACCTGTCAAAAATATTAGCTTAAGATTTCTGGATCAAAACGATGAATTATATATATGCATTTAACTCCCACCTCTGTTGAAACTCTCCTGAATTGATAGAGTAATGGAAGAAAGCCATAGGAACAAAGGAAAAGGGAAAGATGGCCATAACACAAAATTCTGGGAGCTGGAAAGTATAGGATAAGTGTTATATGCTTTGGTAGACCCAGGAAATTACAGCAGTAAAAAAAAAGTAAGTGAGAGGCCAGGTGCAGCATCTCATGCCTGTAGTACTAGGACTCTGGGAGGCCAAGGTGGGAAGATTGCTTGAGCTCAGGAGTTCAAGACCATCAGCTTAAGTGAGAGACCCCCATCTCTACTAAAATAGAAAAATTAGCCAGGTGCAGTGGCACATGCTTGTAGTCCCAGCTATTTGGGAGGCTGAGGCATGAGGAAAGCTTGAGCCCAGGAGTTTGAGGTTGTAGTGAACTACGATGACACCACTGTACTCTAGCCTGGGTGACAAGAATGAGACTCTCTCAAAAAAAAAAAAAAGAAAGAAAAGAAAAAAAGTAAGTGAGAAATTAACCACAGAATAGCTAAAAACCGGCCGGGCGCAGTGGCTCATGCCTGTAATCCTAGCACTCTGGGAGGCCGAGGCGGGTGGATCGTTCTGAGCTCAGGAGTTCGAGACCAGCCTGAGCAAGAGTGAGACCCCGTCTCTACCAAAAAATGGAAAGAAATTAATTGGACAGCTAAAAATACATGTAGAAAAAATTAGCCGGGCATGGTGGCGCATGCCTGTAGTCCCAGCTACTCCGGAGGCTGAGACAGAAGGATCGCTTGAGCCCAGGAGTTTGAGGTTGCTGTGAGCTAGGCTGACGCCACGGCACTCGCCCCAGGCAAGAGTGAGACTCTGTCTCAAAAAAAAAAGAATAGCTAAAAACCTAAGGAATTAGCTCCAGGCAGTACCTCTAAGAGTGGAACTGAAACATAATATTAGCCGAGTCTTTAAGAAACATAAGATGGACAACTGCCTTTTCCTTGCTCTCAGAGGACTGGGGCCCAGAATACAGATGAAGAGAAGGGTTATATTCTTTTTTCTTGTTCTTAAGACAGGGTCTCCCTCTGTTGCCTGGGCTAGAGCACAGTGGTTCGATCATAGCTCACTGCAGCCTCAAACTTCTGGGCTCAAGCAATCCTGCCTTAGCCTCCCAACTAATGAGTACAACAGACACGTGCCACTACAACCAGCTGTTTTTCTATTTTTTGTAAAGATGAGGTCTTGATATGTTCTCAGGCTGATCTCTAAATTCTTGGCCTCAGGCAATCTTTCTGCCTCACCCTCCCTAGTTGCTGGGATTACAGGTGCGAGCCACTGCATCTGGCCTCAATTTATTTTCCTATTAATAACTAGGGTGTGCATAACAACTTTGTCGCAAACAAACAACCGTAGCCCTTTTTCACCTCTCCAATGCTTTCAATACCACCCTTTTTTTTTAAAGCAGCCTTTTAAATCATTGTTTAATGTCATGTTTTTACTTTTAAGGAATCATTTCCTAAAAATTGATTTAACCTTCAGAATAACTGTGCCAACTATTACTTATACTTTACCCATAAGCTTTATAAATTTCTATGCTTACCACTTTTTCTTGAATCCTGTATCTTCTTCCTCCTTGATTTATTTTTTCATTTTGTGGGAGTACATCTTCCAGTAATTCTTTCACAGAAGACTTTTGGCTAATAAACTTCCTGAGGCTTTGCAGGTCTGAAAATTCCTTTATTTCACCATCACATTTAAATGCTAACTTAACTTGGCATAGAAATTTAGGCTCATAATCATTTTCTCTCAGAATATTGAAGACATTACTCCATTGCTTACTAATATCCAGTGTTGCTGATGAAAAGTCTGCTGCCAGGGTGAGTATTGCTCCTTCATCCATCAACGTTTCTTCTTCCCTGGAGGCTTTTAGAATTTTCTCTTTATTCTTGAAGTTCTGAAGTTTTTTTTCCTCTCCCAATTCTTTGATTAGTTCATCCTCTCCCTTTTTTCTAGTCTCTCCTTCTGTAACTTCTATATGGATATTGCGATTTCTGTATCTGTCATCTATATTGCTTAAGGCTTCTTCTATACTTTCCATGATTTTGTGATTTAGTGATTCATTCTGGGATAATTTCTTACCTTCATTACCACTAGATTCTTTAGCTTTGTCTAATTTGCTACTCAGCTCATTTACTTTTCTTTCAAAAGTTAAGCTTTCAATATCCTCAACTATTTTAGAGTACTCTTCTATTTTCTCTACCAGCCCTGTTTTTTCTGAGGTTAAATCTTTTATTTGTTGCCACTCTTTCCTGCTACTGGAGTTCCTTGAATTTTTTATTATAGGTATTGTATTTTTTACTCCTAACATTTCCTTTAGGTCATTTTTAAGAGTTTCCCTTATCTCATCAAACATTAGGTCCTGGATTTCCGTCAAGACCTTAAACTTTTTCATAATAACTGCTGATATGTCTTTGTATTTTAAATCCAATATTGGAGCTATCTCCTTATCAGTTTCTATCAGTTTCTGCTTTCTTTCCATATAGGTGGAATTTTCCTGTTCCTTTGCAAGGCTAGCAATTTTTGACTGTACACTGGACATTGTGGATGTTGTCAAGGCTGGATTCTGGTTTTTTCCTGAAGAATAATTTTTGTTCTTGCAGCCCTGCTAGACTCCAGAAATTCAACAATCTTAAAACACGACAATCTGAAATATAAAGAAATGAATAATTGTTTACTGAAGAATTCAAGAAACTCAGTAAGAATATAAACTTGGTTAAGAAAACTATTCTGGTGCTTGCTTCAGCAGCACGTACACTAAAATTGTAATGACATAGAAGAGCATGGCCCCAGAGAAATAAAGAAAATTAACAAAAGAAAAAAAAAGAAAAACTATTCTGTGGGTGAAAATTGAAAACATTCCCCCTAAGAACTGGAGCAAGACAAGGATGCCCACTTTCACCACTCTTAACAATATTCGGCATAGTATTGAAGTCCTTGAGCAATCACCAGGCAAGAGGAAAAAAAAAAGCATCCAAATTGGAAAAATGGAAGTTGAATCATCCCTGTTCCCTGATATGATCTTTTTTTATCTAGAAAACCCTAAAGATTCCACCAAAAAACTCTTAGATTTGATAGATGAATTTAGTAAAATTTCAGGATACAAAATCAGCGTACAGAAATCAGTAGCTTTCTATACACCAATAACAATCTAGTCAAGAACCAAATCAAGGCTTCAAACATTATTTAAAAAACAAACAAAAAAAAAAAATCAAGAAAGCAATTTACAATAGCTACAGAAAAATAAAACAGAAAAATAAATAGGCATTTATTTAACCAAGGAGGTGAAAGATTCCCTATAAGGAAAACTGCAAAACACTGATGAAAGAAATTGAAGATAACAAAAATGGAAAAATATCCCAGGTTCATGGATCAGAAGAATTAATATCATTAAAATAACCACACTGCCTAAAGCAATTTACAGGCTCAATTCAATCCCTAATCAAAATACCAACATTATTTTTCACAGAATTAGAAAAAACAATTCTAAAGTTCATATGGAACCCCAAAAAGAGGCCAAATAGCCAAGCAATCTTGAGCAAAAAGAACAGAACTGGAGGTATCACATTGCATGACTTCAAGTTATACTACAAGGCAATAATAACCAAAGCAGCATGGCACTGGCATAAAAGTAGACACATTCAATGGAACAGAATAGATTACCCAGAAATAAAGCCACATACTTAACAGCCAACTGATCTTTGACAAAGTCAACAAGAACATACACTGGGCTGCACTGGAATATTTACAGCAGCACAATTTACGATTGCAAAGATGTGGAAACAAGCCAAGTGCCCATCAATCCACAAGTGGATCAATAAAATGTGGTATATGTATAACATGGAGCATTACTCAGCCACAAAAACAAACAAACAAACAAAAAAAACAGTGAACTAATACCTCTTGTATTATCCTGGATGGAGCTGGAGCCCATTCTTCTAGGTGAAGTATCACAAGAATGGAAAAACAAATACCACATGTACTCACCATTAAATTGGTACTAATCAATCAAACCTTATGTGCACATATGGAAGTAACATTCATCCAGTGTCAGGCAGGTGGGGGGGGAGGGGAAGAGGGGATAGGTAAACTCACAGTTAACAGGTGCTGTTTGCGCTATCTGGGAGATGGGCACACTTGTAGCTCTGACTCAGGCAATGCAAAGGCAGTTTATGTAATCAAAGTGCTCGTACTCCCGTAATACTCTGAAATTAAAAAAAAAATAAATTAAAGAAACAAAACACACACAAAGGACATACACTGGAGAAAGGACACCCTTTTCAATAAATGGTGCAGGGAAAATTGGATTGCCATATGCAGAAGAATAAAACTGGAGCACTATCTCTTACCATATACAAAAATCAACTCAAGATGGATTAAAGACTTGAATGTAAGACCTGAATCTACAAAAATACTAGAAGAAAACCTAGGGAAAACTCTTCTGGACATTAGTCTAGGCAAAGAATTTTAACTAAGACCCCAAAGGCACAAAACAGGCTGGGCGTGGTGGGTCATGCCTATAACCCCAGCACTCTAGGAGGCTGAGGTGGGAGGATCACTTGAGGCCAGGAGTTCAAGAGCTGCCTGGGCACAAAGAATTTCTGAAGATGACCCCCAAACCAATCACCGCAGCAACAAAAATAAATAAATGGGATCTGATCAAATTAAAAAGCCTTTGCACAGCCAAGGAAACTATCATTAGGTCGAATAGAAAACCTACAGAATGGGAGAAAATATTTGCTCTCTACACATCTGATAAAGGGCTGATAACAAGAATCTATCTAGAACTTTAAAAAAAA